ATCCTTCGGTCCGGGATCGCTACGGCACTGTTGCCTTAACGATCTGGGCCACCGGACCGGCAGGCTGCACTGCACTTGTTCGTTTTGCTCCCTCCTTCCTCGCTGCCACGCCCGATCGCGTCTGGCTTCTCATCCCTCGGCGCTTCCTGCTTATCCGCTCTCCCACGCCGCCCCCGTCCCGCTCGAGCTATCGCCCCCGCCTCCGCCCCCGCCCACCTGCGGCTTCCTCAAGGGCCTCCTCGTCCTTCCGGTGCTCACTCGGCCGTGCGTTTCTGCGACGCAGTACGAGCATTATCTGCCACGCAATAGCAGTCATAAGGCAGATGATGGAATTTCCCTTTGTCTTTGCTGCTCACGGCAGCACGGCGCACCGTCTTAATGCTAGGTTTCCAAGTGGGCCGCCACCTAATTGTCTTGTTACTTAAGTATGCGTGTACAAGAATTTGCTTCGATGTACATACGTAGTTTATTGGTAATGCAATCTACCACGTTTAAGCGATGTTAACTTAAGTAGCTTTTTGGGGATGTTTTCGACTAAAAGCACTTCAGCGAAAAAATGAAGCTGTTGCATTTTTCTAACCATTTAACGAGATATTACCTTAACAGCAGTTGTTCATTGTATAAAGAAACTCCAATTATTTTAAGATGATTTGTGCCAAAAACACTCTTTAGCACTCAAAGCAATTTGGTCTCTATTTGATATCTTGTGCAAATTACCTGAAAGGTACGATTAGCGCAAATATAGTAACTTGAAGTTTACACAAAAAGGAAACCCTGTGGTTCGTCATATTCTGAAGTGAGGACAGCCCTCGTAGATACAGATTCATTAACATTTAGTTCTTGCTGCAACTAGCTACACCCGTATGCTGTATAAAACGTTGAATGGCATGGAGTCCTGCGTGTTGCATTTTATAAGCCTCTGTTCCTCTGCACGAAACGGGACCGCTGCGCAGCCTGGGCTCCCGACGGCAGCGCTGGGCGGTCTCGCCGTGCCTTACTTCCCCTTCCGTGCCGTGGGGACCCGAGTGGGTTTCGCTTTCCTTGCGTTTGAATGCGCTGTCGACCCGGCGACGGCGGTGGTACCGCGCGCATACATTTTCATGCGATTATGCCCGCGTTGGTCAAGAAAATTCTTGGCGTGGGAACGCGCGCGCCTCACACAAAAGACGGAAGGGCGGAAAGGACAAAGCGCCGAGGGGAATTCTGTCCTCGATCACCTTTGCCTCCGGAGGATTACTGGCTGACTGCGTAGGCTGAGGTAGGGAAGTGCCAGTCACCGCTTGAAGCTTTTGGTCTGGGAGTACCTTCCTTATTCTGGAAATGAAAAGTTATGAAGAAGTAATGTCTATGGAAATTGCTTCTCGCACGATTAGGGTCCGTACGACTTCCTTGCACAGAGTATTAATTTCAATACGCTAAGTACATAACCTTAGGAATAAATATAGATTGTAATAAATATTATGTGATAAATGTTCGTTGCTCAAATAAATGGCATTCCTCGTAAGAAGTCAAATTTCCTTTGCAGAGCTCATTTGACATTCGAAAGTGATCCACCAACTACCAAATCGCGATATACAATTGGCCCTTTAATCAAAACTGTTAAATCAAAAAACTGCTTGATAATAAATGTTATGGTTATTTACAGTTCCGATTAGTCACATACATACACACACAGCTACATATGTGTGTGAACACAAATGTCGTTTAATGTTATTGCATTTGGGTAATAAAGTAAGATGTGCGTAATTGTATAATAAATAAAATGCGTACTTGATTTGTATTTCTTAATGTGTGTTTCTTGTTATGAAATTGGAATTGTCAGTACTAGCAAATTAAGTTAGTATTTTATTATCAGTATAGTTTATATTGTACTTGTGTGCTTTTCGCACTATGGTATGTATAAGTATGTTGCTACGATATTTGAGTTTTCAATGAATATTTATCTAAAATTATAAGTGTTGTTATTTTATTTATCATATTTATTTATCATTAAAAAGCTGGAAAACATTTCAAAGGTTTATCGAGATTTTCAAGTTTTGTTAACGTGGGTTTTAAAAAACAAGTAGACTTTTTTGGCCAGGGGAGATTTAGTCAACTGGTAGAGTTCACGTGCGGAATATCCGCCCAATATGAGGTTGCATGTGTAGGAGGGAGAAGATAACTTTTTATTTCCCTCTCAAAAACAATGCCTTGTAACTTTCCGTCAGGTAATCTCTACCCAAAAAATTTACCTTTAGATTTCTTGCAAGATAGCACACGATAAAACCAACTGCAAATTATTAACGTATCCAAAACAAATTTTTGGTCGTGAGTTTAGGGATTACAATTCCTATCTCGCACTGGGATACTCTAATGTTTTCTGAACAGCGAACGTATGCAAAGTTGTAACAACTGCGCCTGCGCAATATCTCCCTTCTCATGTGTCGCGCTCACATTTTAACGGCCGAGTGCACGGATATCTCGTGCGAACCCTACAGTCAGATGACTCAGTGTGTGCGTGCGTGTGTATTAAGTGTGGGCGTGCGTGTTGTGTCCGCAGAGCTGGGAGCTGCTGGTGCTGGGGAAGCTGCGCTGGGAGGCCGTGGCGGTGACGGGCTACGACGTGGCCGACCACGTGTTGGCGCGTCTCTCCACCCCCGCGTCCGCGCCCCCGCCTCTGCGCCTGCACCCGCTCACTCGGCAGCACGCCATCACCCTCGTCGGCTTCTGCTACGTCGGTAAGTCCCTCTCCCCTTGACTCACCCGTCTTCAACACGGAAAGCGCATCGGGGCCTCCTTGGAACACGAACGATTTATTCTCTCTTTGAACATTGAAATTGCTTATGAATATTGAATTTCCTTAATTCGCTTTTTTTTCTTCATTTATCGGTAGTGTGTATTAAAGTGACATTTTCTAATATAGGCTTGCGAACAATTAATCGTTACTGATACAAGATGTGATGGTTCCCAATGTATTTTCTAAACCTTTTGAAGTAGTTATGTGATGTACATTTTAGGAATGTAATGAATGTGACATCTCCAAATAAGTCAAATTGTCCCAAAGAATGATTGATCTTCAATTGTTATAAAGTAGATTATTCAATCTTCGTTTTGTTCACTGCATGTGGGTTTCGATAGATAGAGAAGAAAAAATTGCGGTGAACTGCCGCTGACATAAACTTGTTGGCTAATTTGTAGGTTATGTAAGATGAGTATTATTGCTTACTAATGTAATTCCACTGCGTCCGTTTGCTGGGCGCGAATCGTCTCAAAAGCAGTGCCACTGCACTGGTAAGACTCGTCAGCTTTTTCATTCTGTCGAAAGATGTGGAAAACAGACAATACTCCTCGCCTGGCGCACGGAAACTCGTTCGATAACAATGGCGCGCTTACATCTGTCCCGTTAGCGGCCGAAGAAAAAAGCGAGAAATGCAAATCAGCGCCCATGCGCGGTCCGCAGTCGCCGTCGCAGAACAGTGGAACAGTTGCGCGGTCGGTGCGGTGAATAAATTTACGGTAATTGGATATGAGCAGTGGCGACGGCCGCGCCATCTGCACGCCGACGCCGACACCGGCGCTCAAGGATACTCATTGCTGACTACTACTTTCATAGTTCGTTGCGTTCGTTTGAACGTTTTTCAATTTTGTTTTTGTTTCGTTTAGCGTAATTTGTTGTTCAGTGCCAAGACTCACAAGAGTGTCTTTCCATGCCTGTAACTTCATTTGAAATTTCTCTTAGTGTTGAGAATGCCCAAACAAGCGGCACTATTATTCTATTTCTACAATTGAGAAGTTCTCTGATTTCCTTTCCAAAAAATATCTTCATTATTGGAAAATCCATTGCCTCCCCTATAATCTACGATCCCAATGGAACAGGAATTCTGAGTAGCTACTTATTCACATTAAACTTTCCTGATGACGTTCCCAGCCCACCTAAACATTGATCAACAAATCTATTTTTTTCACATTTTTTCTTTCATGTTTTATTAATACTAAATATCTCACTATTTGAACTCACTATGGATGAATCCTTCGTGCCAAAGTACTTACAGTAAATACAAAGTATTGTAACAGGATTTGATTGTAAGAATGTAGGTCTAATACTCGTACATCGATTTTATTACTCTCAAGTTGTCTTCTTTGCGAAAAGATCTTGATTCTTTTTAAGACAATGGTAAGTCCATTAGCAATCACTTAATTTACGCCGGTTGAAGTTCCACCTATTGAGTGGAATCATTGATTGATGTTCCTCCAGGTCACGGTGTTCTTTCCCCGCTAGAACGTGAGATATTGCGCTGATTTACACATTTGCTGGATGTTCCGCATCCAGGTATCTCCGCCAGCGGATCTCTGCCCCAACCGGGACAAGCTCTGAACTCCAGTCTGGTACTCCGTGGTAGAGTAGTAGAGCACGTAAGTTGTAAGTGCGCGTGCAGATGGGGAGAGGAGGTGACTTAAGTTATGGATGGAAAAATCGTGCGCCGTCCGTGGCCCGTTCGTAAAGGACTACTCCGTCTTTCTCCTGACGTTGATCGGAGAAACAACGGAAATCTGCCGATCAGAGCAGCCGGCCGCTGGAGGAGAACTCTGCTCCTTACCGCTGCTGAATTCGATGTAGCTATTTAAGAGTCAAAAATCCGCCACCGCCGGTCTGGATAGCCGAGGTCGCTAAGGCTGAAGGGCTCGAAGGGTCGCGGGTTCGAATCCCGCCTCGGTCGTGTGTGTTCGAGTTGTCCTTGCGTCCCCTCCCGCAGTTCCCCGTACAGTTATAATTATCACCTTACAATCTTAAGTATTTTTTTTATTTAAAAAAAAATTAAAATTCGCCACCATCGGGATTCGAACCCTGGGCCACCCCAAGCAGTGTCGCCAGCACCTGCCACAGCTATCGCCGGCGAGGCACCTCGTTGTCAGAGGGTGTTCGCGCGTGTTCGAGAAGGTGCGCGCGCGTGCGGGGTCAGGTGCAGGCGCGCGGGGCCTTGGGCAGGCTCTTCACCCCCGCGTCGCCGCGACGGTCAGCGCTGCCCCCACGCGGCGCGGCTTCCTCCGGCGCAGCTGCCGCCCCCGCCGCCGCCGCCGCCGCCTCCACACGTGCGCGAACCTTGGGCGGCGTCGTTGACTTCCCCAGGGCGACTGCCCGCCCGCATTGCCAACCACTTTGCCCGGCAGGCGTGACCTCGGCGGCGATAGAGCGTGGACATTGGAAGTCATTTTGTCTTGTTTCGTGGAGGTGGTGGGTGTAGTGTTGGACACCTGCATCAGTCTTAGAGTTCGATTATGCAGTCAATTTTGTGATTGATTTAAAATTCAATTTTCCGAAAATTAGTTCAACTTACTGTAATGTAGACCAAGAAAACAACTTTCGTTGTGTAGTTTAAAAAATGACAGGCACATGTATTTACCGCAGTCCAATGGACCAAGAAATTCCTGCCCTAGAAATCGATAAGAGTCCATCTCCAACAATTGATAGTTGAGTAGTATGGATTCCTCAAGGATATATCTCAATGAACGATTGAATCTCTACTTTGGACGTGCCATCTTTCGTCCGATAAAAATATATATAACTGCCATTTGTATATCATTTTGTTCTTGACGTATGGACAAAGTACAAACATTTAATTTAATCATATATAGTTATTTGCTGACATCGTGAATCCTTTTTCAAAAAATAAAATGTGAGATTACAAGAAATAAAACATCGGCGCATGGAAGAGAAAAATACAAAGACCTGTTTGTGTATTTGCTATGCAGTATTCTATGGCATATTCTTTTAACATTTCCATTTTTCATTACCTTTCACCAATCAAACTAGTTTGTACGTAAGCGGGTCTATGTGGGACAACATGCCGGACACGTGTGGATCATGAACGCTAGTTAGGGCTTGTCCAAGAGCAGACCGCCAATTGGGGAAGGGGAAGTGCCCTCTAACAAGCTCTATGCCCTCTAGAGTAGATCTTTGAAAGCGACACCTCCTGCCTGCGATGGCGGCCGCCGGCGCAGATGACGCAACTGGTCTCGCGGGACACAATCGCGGGGCGCTTGCATCTGCCGGCAGGACGGCGTCGGCAGCGCTTCGCCGGCCGCTTATGTTAATGCGCGATTGTGCTGTGCAGCCCGCGCGAGCGCGTGCCCGCGAAGGGGCGTGGTCCGAGGGGGGGGGGAGAAGAGGGGGCGACGCAGGGACGCGTGAACGGGCTGGGCTGGGCCGGGCCGGGCCGCTGCCTCCCCCTCCGCGCGTACGCGCGCGGGGTGCCGCAGGGGCGGGGCCAGGCGCGGACAGGGTTCGCTGTGAAGGGCGGGAGGAAGGAGGGAGGGGCTTACTGAGCGCGAACCGATCTGGGACAACACCCTGCGACGTCATGCGACGCGCGGAGTTCGACCCGGAGTAGAAGGATGCGTTGCTCCAGGCGGGTATTAACGGAGTGTACACGAGGCCGAAATGACCAAGGTCCTGCGAGTTTATAATCTGACTTTACGTACTAATGCAACCGTACGATCTGAGTGGGATAATGAATAATGGAATGTGTAATTTTTTGGCTGTAAATGCGAATCTTCTTGATTTCTCGGCACACCTTTGGTCAGACACGTACACTGGGAGTATTCGATAGGGTAATCCGATGAGAAACAAGAGTTTTATGGCGTGTATTGTTGGGCCTGGGGTAATTATGACTTATTGCGTATGTGCAATGTAAGAGAGTGGTGGCTTAGACTGAAAACGCAGGCAAGAGGAGGTAGGTAAGTCGTGCAGACGGGACCGTACCCCGCCCCCAAAAGGCGGAGTGTTTTCTTTTGTTACTTACCTTTATTTAGCAAAATTGACATATTTAAGAATAATATTTATCAATTATTGAATAACATTTTTATGTTAGAGTTGTGTAATTTAAAAATTAATATTGTATAATATATAACACAAGAAAAGTATGTACAATATAACAGATATGTTCATTATTTATGACGCCCCCCCCCCATAATGATCGGCTCGATCCGCCCCTGCTGAAGGAGGCGTGCGGGGTGGAGCAGCGCCCTGTCACGGCATGCGCGTCTGGGGGAAGGGGGGGGGGTGAAGCGGGGTCGATGGGCCGAACCGGCCTCGGTAGCGACGGCCCAAGGGCTGGGGGCGGCCTCGGGTGACTTGCTTCTCCGCCCCAGCCATTGGCTGCCGCCCGCCGCCGCCCCTTGGGCCGCCCCGGGACAGGGCAGCTGCCGCCGCTTGCGAACCCTCCCTCCTCGTGCCAACACCACGCACTTCGTCTCACACGTACGCCGCACCGCCGGCAGCTGTCGCGCGTAAGCAGCCTAATTAAAAGCCGGGAGTTGCCCGCGCTTACGCCGTCGCGCGGGCCGGTCAATACGACCTGTGCGCTTCCGAAGATAGGGGCGGCTCACCTGATCGCGTGCACTGACAAGTTCTCACTAGCAATGGCTTGCTCGTGCCCATCTCTGTCAGTTAGAACTGTCCTTGGCAGATTTCTCCGTCAAAAACAGTTTCTTTCTCAAAACTTTATTAATACATTTTTCATGGTAGCAATTGTATTTTCTACTAAGACGATTTTTAACTTTGTTATTTAATAACAAAAGTTCCACGCAACCCGCCGCACACTAAAGTATTAAGCGTATATTCTGTCCCTGCGAATGTGAAATATCGGCCGGAATTATTATTTAAACGTTATCTCGGACAAATCAATAAAATCAAATTTTTCCAAGACAGTGTCGTAGCGAATGCATGCCAAATTTGAGG